GTGCCAGGCTCAGCCATCAGGCATGGGTGGCGTGCGTTAATGGGGGCAATGGATCAGCGCACCCGGCGCTATATCGAGTTCGAAGCAGAGGTCCGAAACTGGGAGGACTTGCAGTCCGCTCGACCCAAGGTCAAGGCCAGAAGGATGGCTGCAGCTGCTTCCACAGAGACTGCAGATACTGGAGGTGGAATTGGAGCGATGGACGATGGAGAGTTGAGAACTGCAGAGACGGAGGTCTCGCGTGCCGAGGTCTCGGAGACAGAGTCTGCAGAGTCATCCTCGGCAAGTTCGTCGGACGAATCGATTCCAATGGGGGAACACATGATGCAGAGCCGGACCAGAGTTTTGGCGCTCATCGAAGCAGAGAAAGCCTTGAAGGATGTGGGCTCCTCTGCGCCGCCCCCACCGTCTCCGATCATTATGGAGCCATCGCCGGTCGCGACGGACGGGTACAAGTTCGATCCAGCAGCCCTAGGAACCCCTCTGAGGGACACTGCGGCTCCCTCAACACCGGTACCTCCTTCGCCGTCTGCAGTTTCGTTGGCCCCTTTGGAGTCCTTCAAGTTCTTGGATGTCCCACTTCTGGTCCCTCGGACCACAGTGTGGAGCCGATGGTGGTGGAAAAGGAGCGGGCCCCAGAAACTCCAGGACCCACGGCACCGGCTGGAGCTTCAATTTCAACAACGGAGAGTGTGCCGGAGAAATTCCAGGTCCCGGTTATGTCCCGAAGGCAGCTCCTGGGGAAATTCCAGGTGCTCTTTCGAAAGCCAAGGCAGCACCAGCGGGGGCTACACCGAAGGTCTGGTTTGTGGTTCCAACTTCCTCGCCTTTGACGGTTCCAGAAGCGCCAGTGGCTGTAGAGTCTTTGCCTGCAGCTCCAGAGCCAGCAACCGTGACAGCGGAGGAAGGGCCTACATCCGAGACCGCTACATCATCCGCAGCGGATGCCCTTCCGCCTCCGGGCGGCTTGGGTCAAACAGCCGAAGAAAGGAAGTTTGTGCTTCCTTCCCCTTGCCAGAAGAAGTGAAGGCCTTAAAGGCTGTGCGGAATTCTTCCTTTTGTGGAATTGTTTCTGAACGCGCCGATCGCATGTCTTGCGCGTTGGAAAAACACAGTGTCTTTCAGGCTTGTTTGGACTTGGAAAGAAGCATGAGTGAAGCAGTTGAACAGACATGTTGCTGTTGGAGACTTGCTTGGTTAGGAGTGTGCGAGCTTGAAGGTCCCTTGAAGAGAAGCCCAAAAGAACTTCGATCTTCTCGGCAGTACCCTCAAAGATCCGAAATACCCTCAAGTCCGCGTTTAACTAGCCCGAAAGAACGTCGATCTTCTAAGCAGTACCCTCAAAGATCCGAAATACCCTCAAGTGTGAACCTCAGAAACGCCACGAACCCAAACCTCCTGAACATGAGTCATGACAGACCCCTGCCGGCCAGGAGTGCTTTGTTTTGCATGCCAGGAGAAGCATTGGATGTTTTCGCTTGCTTGGCGATCTATGTGATAGCAAGTCTCTTGGGGGGTTCGTTCTGGTTAGGGTTTCGATTCTTGAAGATGTGTTTGAAAAGGTTTCGAGGAGTTGGTGACTACCCTCAACTGGTATCCCGAAAGTACCGTTTACACCATCGTCGTAAAGGAGTCCGAGTGCGAATCAAGACTCGTTTCTGTTATGTTCGAGTTGATGTAGAACGTACTCTGGTCTTTAGCAGGCACGTTGTGAAACCAACTTGGAGCTCAGGTTTTAAAGCCTCTTTGAAGTTCTCATGTAAGGCCATGTGCTTGGGCCTTTGTCTCGACAGGAACTTGTGGAGCTTGTTGGTGTGCGTGGCATGGTGTTGTGCTTGGAGTTTGTGTGGTTGTTGTTTGTTGAGAAGAAAGGGCGATGATGAAAAAGGGAGCAGATCCACTTCTGAGCACAGCCACTTGAGAGTTGTGCGTGGACTGCCCCTCCCCGGTAAGGGGACGCAAGCTGAGCCCTTAGAACTCGATAGTGACATGCCACGTTCTTCAGAGAGAGAAGAGAGAGGAGAAAAAGAGAGTCCGCTTCCGAAGCCTCAAGGTGCTGAACCACCTAAACCTGTAGAAGTTTCAGATAGGATACCTCTGCGAAGTGTGGCTTTGCAAGTGCATAGATCCAGAGGTCATTTTCCTTATGATGTGAACTGTGAGGCCTGCACCTCGAGTAAAGGGAAGGTTCCTGCGAGACGCTTGCGAAGGCGTTTGCAACGCGAGGACCAGACGATTGGAATGGATTTCTACTACTTCGGTCGTCTTCGTGTGCTGCTTCTTGCACATTGTTCTTCAAACTATACCACGGTCATCCCGGCCATGAATTTGGATGATCCGGATCTGTTTTACAACATTGGACGAGTGATTCGCGAAATGGGTCTTGTGAATAAAATGGTAACAGTGAGATGTGATCAGGAGTCGGCTTTGATGTCTTTAGCCGAAAAATTGACTACTCGTACAGGTGATGTAGCTGTTTCTGGCGTCATTGTGGACGTCGTGCCCGGGTATCGCCCTCAGTCAAAAGGCGCTATTGAAAGACAAGTAGAAACTATGAAGCAGGGGTTTTGGGCAGTGTGGTTAGACTTGGAGAGAGAAGTTGCGCGGAATTCCGCGCCGGAAGACTGGAACAAGAAGCTTCCGCTGGGAGGAATGCTCTGGCAAGCTTGTGTCCTTTACAGTGCCAGGTGCTACAACCTCTGGAGCTTTAGTCACCAGGACGTGACTACGCCCATTGACCGGCTGCACGAGGAGATTGTGCATCGTACGAGGACCCTGCCGTTTGGATGTCTTGTCTACGCTAAAGTAGGGGGCTCAAAAGCGCATCAACAGAAGTACAGGGGAAAGAAAACAGTGAAAGCTGTGTATCTAGGGCCTAAAGAGCCTAGAGGGGGCGGTGTCTTTGCTGTTCCAGTGGGTCAGACTGAGATCGATATCTTTCCTGTCTGTAGGGCCTTAGAAGGAGCGAAAGGTGAGCCTGTCTACGACGTAGGGGCCATACACGCTCTGTTTACTTCACAGCCTCTCGTTTTAGACCCAGCGGATCCTGAAAGGCCCATCATGTTTGAGCCACCACCTGATCCGGTGAAGTCAGAAGACCCTGACCCGGGGTTTGAAAACGAAGATGAAGAAATGGTACCAGATGATCCTGATCCTCTGAATGATATTCCGTCTTACGTGGAACCCACAGATGATGAGGGGGAAGGCGGACTTGGGTCACCGGAAATGCAGCCGGATGACCTGGAGGACATGGAGATTGACTGGCTAACTAACCATCTGCTAGAGTCTTTGTTCAAAGGACCGGACATTCTGGCCACGTCTAAAGAAGTAGCTGATTCGTTTACTCTCAAATTCGGAGGGAGTAAGATCAAGTGCCAAGTACCCCGAAACGCCGTTTCGCTCTGGGTTTTGTTTTTCCCAGGTGTTTTGACACGCACGAATCATGACCGACCATGTTCGCCCGGCCCAGCTAGCTCCTGGCTCCGCTGCCTCAGCACCTGCTGAGCAATGCTGCACAGATTCTGCCGCCGTTGCCTGCTGGGCCCCGCCACGGGGTCAACTTGCAGTTTGCACCGCCCATGCGCACCTTTTGCACTCGGTACCAAAACGCCCACTGCCGCCGACAGTGCTCTCTGCACATGACGCCCCTGCAGCGCACACATGCCCACGTTTTTTGCCCTACACGGCTTGCCTGTGTCAGCACTCCTGCCGCTGCAAGTAAATTGGCGCTGCCTCGCCGCCTTGAGCCACATTGGGTCTAACATGTGGGCCTGCCTCTCACCTGCCTCCCGGCACGCCCTGCACGCCATTGACTGGTGGACGGCCTCCGATTGCAGGTGGTACTTAGCCGGTCTGCCTATGCCATCGAGCCGAGCTTCTTCGGAGAACGACGATGGCTCCAGCACATCCGCCTCGGATTTTTAGCCTTAGCGCAGCTGCCCCGCGGCCCATGTCGCCCCGAGCCCGACTGGTGCCCCGACCCCTTTAGGCCTGCTTTGTGTTGCTGCCAACCCACCTTGCCCCGCCGCCAGGTACCTGATCAAGATCGACCACCAGGACATCATTCTTCCGCCCGGAGCTCATTTCTTGCTAGGACGCTTTTTCGAGACTTGTACACAGTCTCCTTTTCAATCAGGCGGCCTCGTCAACTTCAGTCAGCATGTCCCATAGCC